CAGGGAATAGAATTTTCATAATTACGTTACGGTGTGTGATTTTAAGTGACAGACGACATCGATACCAAATAACGAAGAGACGCACATGGCTTAATTACTATGTCAAAATGGATATTAAACCCGTCGAACCGGTTAAACCACCCAAAAATAGCATGTGACGTTATCTTAATGAATGGGATTCCCCCGGTTTTCGTTTTGTTCATGGTTTTGGGCTCGGCTCCTCGAAAAGTGGTAGTTACATCCGGGATTGTGCTAAATTTTAAATATGGTTTCTTGTTTAAGAACATGTAACCCGAGCTTATAAAATCCAAAAATGCAAAAATGTTTATCACAGAATGTTACCCTAAGCAATACATAGGAAGGTAAATGAAAGAAAGAAAGAACAAGAAGAAGCAGAAAAAGAAGAAGAAAAAAAGGAACAAAACTTTAATCCTGGATTAGCGGTAATTGGCCTTTCGAGACACTAGCCCAGAGCGCAAAATTTACGTACGTATGCACGTAAAAATTACGCGACGGTTGAAGTCTGCCTTTAGGTTCTCCGTCACTTTACAAGTTTGGCGAGTTCTAGATTGGTAGACCCAGGGGACGGATTCTGGTGTTGAATTTAAACCGCCGACAGGGGCACCGTCTTTCTTGTCGTTACAAACAGTAATATGTAAAAATTTGTTGTGATGTAAACATGTTTATTTATTTGTTGTGTTGCTGACAATAAACTTCATGAGAAATCCATTACCAATTGAATGTTTGTTTCAATAGGCTAAACCGAGAGAATGAGAATATTATTTAATATTAATATAAATGGACGGCAGCTCAAGAAAGTAACATTGAAGATATAGTTCTCTTAGCGTAAGTTTGTCCAAAGACAAAAAGAAACGGCTGACAACGACGGAGGATGAACATTTATACATGTAGCTTGACATGGCGAGCGCTAGTCTAGGAGGTCATCGCCCTGATTATCCTTGTATCCAAAAGTTTCATGAATTTCCTGGCAAAAAAAATAAGTTAACTTTACTATAAGTGTTTTTTATTATTATTAGATTTTAGAAAAAAATTCTCAACCAGCTTTAGCTCATGAACCAGAATTGAGAAAAACCTACTTACATTTCGTGGAGATCAGTATTCTCAATCAGCATTTCTCGCTTGCTGGCTTGCGAGAGTGAAATTTGTGGCTCGAGATGACTGAGTCTTTGATAATACACTTCCGACGCTTCGATTGGATGAATGCAGTCTCAAGGAAGGTTTTGACCTCACTTAAGAGTGCACTTCGGCAGTTTGAGGCTATGAAGTTTGGTCAAGATGTAAGTCAAGTGAAACAGGACCCATTTGCCCCGCCACAAGGTCAGTCTCAGGTGCACTTGAAAAGTTCATTGTGGGCCCACCTATTAACTTAAAAGGTATAAGAAGAGTGCAAAATGGGAAGAGGTGATTAGGTTGTTGTATTATTGCGCGTGACGAAAAAGAACGTATACTTTTCATGTCGTTTGTTCATCAAGTGTAGGATACTTTCAAATGACTTCAGCGGAAGAAAAGATACGTCGAACGCATCTTAATAATATTTGATTTTTACTGGTAAATAGTTTCCTTTCTTTCCTTTTTTATTAAAGAAACCTTGCATTTATTCATGGAACGCCTGTGAAAGTTCTTCAAGTCGATAGTACGCTGGGCAAATCAATTCTTGAGGACAAACTCTCTGCCTCACGTAGGTCACATAGATATTGTTAGTTTCAGGCATTTATATGCTTTTTTTTTCACTGCTTTGAGGGCTCCCTTAGTAGCAGAATGTTTCCACTCCGCTAGATATTTTATTGACACATCAATAAAATTTATTAATACAAAAGTCACGTATTTTCTGAGAAATGCGAGTTAAATGGTTGTAGATGAAACTCGAGACAGTTGTAGGTTTGGGGAAAAATCGGTTAATTGATATGAAGTGAGTGTTTTAAAAACAGATAAATATTCCTCGTTTTTACCTCTTTAATATCTACTTTTTTAAATCTGCAATTTATTAAAAGATGGGTTTCAGAAATCATGGTGAAGTAGCTTTGCATTTCTTCCACTAAAAACTAAATTCCAAGTATCGTTTCTGCGAAATATGCAAAGTTTGGAGTCGCGCTTGAGCAGAGTCCCATTGCTAAGAAAATCTGATAATCTATCCATCCGAGAAATTTTGGCTATGACGTCAGTGTACGAACTCCCGTCCGTGCAGACGCTGGGGAGGGGGAAGGGAGGCAGCCCGACCGGAGGGGGATGTGTTATATTTTCTTGGCAGGAAAACGAGCGATTTGGCTACCCGCGTTTGTTTTGGCGGATAATCGCGTGGCCATGTTGCGGTGAATTGACAGCTGTCAAAACAGGGTATCCACTGACCAGTATTACATGACCGTATCGTGGGCTCAGGTCTTGAATTATCGAGTTTGCGTGTTTTTTGAGTTATCCGCTGACAAGTTAGTAGTTTTTCAATGATAGCAGGCTGGATTTCAATTTTTTAAATGCACCGGAAATAAAGTGTGTCTATGAGCGGCACTATGAAAATTTTGATTTCAAACTGACTTCAGACGCAGAAATTCAGACAGTTTTTACAGGCACGGAAGTAAAAGGCAGTTGGCTTTGCCTAGCATGGTCACGCTCTACGTCGAATTTTTATCTCCGGTTGGTCAAGATTTGACAGGTGTTCACGTGGAAAATTTATGCAGTATCTCGAAACTTGTTTATTGATAGCTGGAGCTGACAGAGTTTTGTGTCGTCTTATGATGTTTTTTATTGTATTTTCTCACTGGCTGTACAAAATGAAATACAGCTGCTATCAAGATTCTTCTGTTATTCATGACTGGTTTGTTTATTGGGTTTTTGGTTGAGAATTTCGCCGCTTGTCGAAGTTATTGGAAATCCGATTTCGATGATATCGTTTTTAAAAATGAGCTTATTCTACTTCACCTTGCTTGATGCTTGAGGAGTCTAAGGCGATTCTGGCCTTACTTGATGGCCTTCAGGAGCTGCATCTCGACTGGTAAGCCTTAGTAATCATTGCAGTTGATATGTTTTTTTTTTTTCTGTTTTCATGTAGTCGAGCATAGTTTATGCGGCTAGTTTATGGACATTTGTAAGATTTGGATCGGAGACAATGATTTGACCTAGTATCAGGTTTGATATACAGAACTTTAAAAGCCTTAAGACATTTTCTGACCGCAAATGCTAGAAAGAAAACATTCTGAAGAATATTCAGTCATAATTTTGGTTGTAAAAAGAAAGATTTGAGAAATATTCTTGCCTCGAGTTCATCTTGGAAAACAGCAAACACCGGGAAGCCGGTTAAAACACAAATATGGCAAGGTGTTATACCTGAGTCATGATTTTCAGATCACTTTCATTACTTGTCTAGATCTTCATGAATGACAACTGTTTTCTCTGTAAATGTTTCACCGAATTATTTTTCTTGTCTTGATTGTTAGTATTTTCTTTCGTAATTTTAGAACTGGCTGGCCGTATGGGTGATTTTGAAAAGGTTTCGAAAGTTCTCGCTAAAAGCTCATTATTACGTATACCCTGCATACTACATAGGAGCAAATTGATCTCACTGAACAATCCCAACATTATGGAATTCTCTTCATGAAAAGTTTTTATAATTTGTTCAATTATATAATTTATTGTGCAAGGGAAGCGCGTGCTTCGATGGTCATGAATATTGAATGAGTGCATGCAATTTGTCTTGAAAAATTGTGAGAAACGGCTACAGGATTTAATAGGGGAAAAAAAAAAGAAATTCTCTCCGAGGTCTGAAGGCTGAACAAACAGCGCCTGATAGTACTGTTTACCTCAGATATGATGTACAAAAAGTATAAAAGGCTGGTTTACACGCCAACAGATTTGTCGGCAAGATTTTGTAAAGTAAACTTGTCGAACACAGAAATTCTGGCCTGATTTTTTATTTTGGCCTTCCTTTTAGGAATGCAACCGATAAATTATACCGTGTAAATAGGCCGCCATCGAGGCCTATCCTGTCTTGTACCCCGCCTTTATAGCATAAAATTATATTTCGGGGAAGTCAAATTAAATTAACTTTATAAAATAAAGGTGGTGTAGGTGGCCAACTGGTTTATTTTCTTTGGTAGCGTTTTGCAAGCCTAATCTCCTATGATCAAAATTTACATGATTGCTATTTTTTTGGTTTAATAAGACTAATAACTCGATGTAAGATTTGTTTCACTCTTGTACTGTTTGCAAATTATTTTTTCTCTAAACCACTTTTAATAGCTTTTCCCTCCAAAACTTTATGAATCTGCCCTAAAGTTGACTAACTGTGGATTACAAGTTTATTGTTTGATTTAAATTATAAATTTATTAACGGGAGCTTCGCTTTAAGCCCTGGCTAAATCTATATATTATAAAATACAGTAGAACCCCGGTTCCAGAATTAAAACTCTGAAGGAAAACGGAAAAACAGTTCGAGTTAGCGGCAGTTCAAGGATATCGGGG